GGGCAGAAAAAGGTGCCTTCCAAGACTTAGTAACCTCCTCATGCACTTCCGGGAAGAATGGAACCGGAGGCGGCTGCCGAAGCCCGGCCTGCGCCCCCAGTAACCAATCATCCATCCTCGAGCGTTCGGGAGAAGGAGGAGGCCTCCAGTGCAGCCCGACATTCTCGTCGGCCCGGGAAAGCATAGCGGTCAGCTCTGGATCTGACTCGGACAACGCCACTCTACCTGACGGTGGCAGCGCAGCCGAATCGTCATCTCCAGAGCCTAGCTCGCCCTCCGATGCAGCGATCGACATCCTGTCCTCTGCCTGTGTCCCACACAAGATGCTGGACCCCGCCCTGTCCGAGGACCCAGCACACTCATCCGGAAACCCCAGGTGGTGCACCATGCTTGAGGAATGAGAGGCCCGCGGAGACGTGCTCGACAGGGAAGCTCTCACTGTAACCCTCAGGTCTCCCTGACCATGAACTGAAGTAGCCCTCCGAGAATTGGAAGAGCTAGAGCGGGGCATGGCAAGGGGGCGAGATCCCAATTCGTCAGTCACGACTGACGTAACGTAGAACGTGACTGACTGAAAGGGAACTGGCCAGAGCAAGCACATTAGCATACTTTGATAAAAATGCACCAACTAAAGTGATTGCAGATGCAAGCCCGGTGGGGCTGGGGGCTGTCTTGGTTCAGATCCAAAAAGGTGAGGCAGTGCCAATATGTTATGTGAGTCGCAGTCTAACAGACTGTGAGCGCAGATATTCACAGACAGAAAAAGAGGCACTGGCTCTCGTGTGGGCATGTGAAAGACTGCACGCTTACATTTATGGCAGAGAATTTGAGCTGGTCACAGACCACAAACCATTAGAAGCCATATATAGCCCCTGCTCCAAACCCTGTGCCCGGATAGAAAGATGGGTACTCCGACTACACCCATACAACTTCAAGGTCACGCACTTACCTGGCAGAAAGAACTTTGCAGACTTGCTGTCAAGACTGTTGGGAGAAGCATCAAAAATTGAGAGGCATGTACACAATTCAGAAGAATATGTTAGGTTTATTGCAGTGAGTGCAACGCCTAGTGCTTTGACCACCAGAGAGGTAGAGGAAGCCTCTGAGAGTGATCCAGAGTTGAAAGAAGTATGCTCTGCAATTAACAGTGGGCACTTTGAGAACTGTAAAGCATATGCTCCAATAGCCAACGAGCTGTGCTGCATTGGCCAGTTGGTCCTCCGTGGAACACACATAGTGATACCAAAAGCATTACAACCCAGAGCGTTGGCTCTAGCACACAAAGGACACTTAGGAATTGTGGTCACTAAACAGCATCTCCGGTCCAAAGTGTGGTGGCCGGGTATGGATAGAGCTGCAGAAAAGTATTGCAAGTCATGTCACGGGTGCCAGGTAGTATCCAGGCCAGATACACCTGAGCCGTTATGACCTACACCACTACCAGATGGACCCTGGCAGGATGTGGCCATAGACCTGTTAGGCCCACTCCCAACTGGTCACTCCATACTTGTTGTGGTGGATTATTATAGTCGCTACTACGAATATGATGTTCTGTTGTCAACAACATCAGACAAAATCATAGACAGCTTGGAGTCTATATTTAGTAGACACGGCCTGCCTATCACATGTCAGTCAGATCAAGGGCCGCAGTTTAAATCTGAACAATTCAATGTGTTCTGCAAGAGTAACGGCATCAGACATGTCAAAACCACTCCTAAATGGGCTCAGGCTAATGGCGAGGTGGAACACCAGAACTCATCGCTAATGAAAAGAATCCGGATTGCACAGGCTGAGGGACTTGATTGGAAAAAAGAGCTGAGGAAATATGTCACTGTGTATCGAGGTATTGAACACCCCATGACTGGAAAAAGCCCAGCTGAACTGCTCTTTAATAGGAAGATTCGGGGGAAGCTACCCAACCTTTCAGAAGCATGTAAAGATCAACAAGTATGTGACAGGGATGCAGAACAAAAAGCAAAAGCAAAAAGATATGCAGATGAGCGTCGGAGGACACAATACTCAAATGTGAATGTAGGAGACACAGTGCTTCTGCAACAAGAAAAGGTAGATAAATTCACGACTCCATTCAACCCAGTCCTGCACCAGGTCGTGAGCAAAACTGGAAACCAAGTGACTGTAGAATCACCCACTGGGGCAAGATACATGCGGAACACTACTCACGTCAAACGATTCAACACCCGTGAAACAGGTGATGCAGAAACCGAACACGAACAGATAGATCTGAACAAAAATAGCTATTGTCCTGACTCCGAACCTCATGATCTGAATCCCAAAATGGATTCATCAGACGGACCAAAAAAGGACAGACCCCAACGGACTAGACGAGTGCCTGAGAAACTGTCAGATTATATCATGAACTGAAAGGAATAAATTCTATAGATGTAGGCCGTCCAATATAACCAGAAAAAGGGGGAAAATATAAGTTAAATAACTGTTCAGGAATAAGCCTATATGTTAGCATGTTTTCATAAAATACTTTGTTAATGTTTATCGTGGAAAAGAAAATATTATTATTAATTGGTTTAGGATTAAGGTGGTGAAGAAGGTTATGAGATGTTCTTAAAGTTAGTTTTGATCTTGTTCAGTTAATGATTGTGACTCTATATCCAAGAAAAGGGGGAATGTTATGTATTGGAATTACTGGGGTTGTTTCCAGTGTTGGTCACTAGAGGGGGCTGTTACCTGTAAAGAAGTTGATGTGTTGGAATCTTCAGTAAACAAGTGGGAGAGCACTGGAGTGGAAGTGTAAAAGCATGTTGGTGTGTTTAATTCAATTAAGGCAGAGATGTAACAGGTAGTTGCTGAAAGTCAGTAACAAACAAGGACCAGTCCATGTCACTTCTACAAAAAAATCTAAAACATCACTGTTATGATGTTTTGATGACATATTCACCTAAAAAAGTTTTTAAAAAATTAGTTTTTGGTAAATCATTCAAATGTATGTGTTGCCAAGCGGCAACATTGTGCAATAGTGGAATGACATCATTACAATAGTTTAGCTAGCTAGCAAGGTCAGCTGCAATTTGTTAAGCTGTAACAATAACAACATTAATACTAGTGAAATAATGTTGATTAGTCGTATGTTAATGGTATTTGTATTATGGATATAATCAAATTGAAATGGCAATTTTACTTTTGATTAAATATGAATACAGGTAACATTACATCAGTGAGCACGGCCTTATAGAATAAATAAAAGCACAAGTTGTTGGAAAGTATGTATAAGGTGTCAATTATAAGTAAGTACTGTGTTAAAGCTTATAATAGCACCAATTGAATCAACACAAACAACATTTCTGAGGAAAAATATTAATTATAAGTAAGCTTACACTTATTCTAAGTTAGATCCACTATTGTATGCTGTTGCCGTATGGCAACATATCATAAAGTACCTTAAAATAATATTTTTTTCCAATTTTTTTTACAGCACTTCAAGGTAAGCCATTCTTAGAAAAGAAAAGATTCAAATATTTTTTTCTATAGGTCTATCATAATGCATGGTAAGCCATTCTTAGAAAAGAAAAAATTCAAATATTTTTTTCTATAGGTCTATCATAATGCATGCAGTAGAGGGTTAAAATAAAGTGTTACTAAAACTGTATTAGTAGAAAAAAATGGTGGGTCAGTTTGTTTAAAAATTCTATTTAGCAGAGAACAGATAATTTATTTTTACATACTGGTATATTTTGAGATGCAGAAAGTTTCTCCTTTTGATTTATCTGCTGTCACAGCAGTGATGCAGACTGTGTAATTGACTCCAGCAGTGAGACCAGTGATGTAATAGAGAGTGTTACTAGTTTCTGTTGAATTTCTGTTTGTTTTCTCATCAGCCCAGTTAATTTTAAAGAAAGATCTATTTTCAAATGGTTCATCCCATGTCAGAAACACAGATGAGGTTGTGATGTTGGTCACTCTGAAATTCCTGATCACATCTGGCTCTGTGTGGAGAGAGAAGGACAAATCATAAATACTGGTGAGAGACGGAGTAAAAACATTTAAGACTGATACAATCATTCATAAAGCATTTATAGCATTTGTAGGTGCTTAAGATGTTGCTGTACAGTTTTCTGCTCAAGGCAAGAAATTATGAGATGTTTTCAGGGCTGAAGTTTAAAAAGAGTCATTCAGATTAAACATCCAATCAGAGGTCTTACTGGTATACAGTGAAATCTGATTGGCTCTCCCCTCGGTCACATGATCAGCTGCAACTGCAAACACTCTGAATGTGTACTGTGCTCCGGAAGTCAGATTATTTATTTTGATGGAGGTGTTTTCAGTAGTCACACTGTTATTTTCATATTCTACACGGTAACGGGAGCTTTGACCGTTTGGTTTAATCCAGTTTAGTAAAACAGAGGATGTTGTAATATCAGCAGCCGTTATGTTCATTATGATGTCAGGCTCTGTGAGTAAAAATGACAGACATTTGGGGATTCAAATTAAATTCTGAAAATGTAGTTAAGATTTATATATACAAAAATCTCATCAGTCAATAACAATATGACTATCCAGCTAGGGTAATCAGGAAACATTTAAGTGGAAAACATACTAGTATAATTTGAGGTAACCGCTGATTCTCCTTCTGTTGATTTATCTGCTGCAACAGCTGTGATGATAAATGTGTAATTGACTCCAGCAGTCAGACCAGTGATGTTATAGCACGTGTTACTAGTTTCAGTTGAATTTCTGTTTGTTTTCTCATCAGTCCAGTGAAGTTTAAAGAAAGATCTATTTCCAATTGGTTCTTCCCATGTCAGAACCACAGATGATGTTGTGATGTTGGTCACTCTGAACTTCCGGATCACATTTGGCTCTGTGTGGGGGAGAGAGAAATAAATAATAAGTAGTGGTAAGGAAATTATAGTTATGATTATATAAAACATTTGTTTCTCTGAGCATAAGATGTTGCTGTTTTCTGCTCAAAGCAAAGGGGATGGGGGTTGGGATTGGGGAGGCTTGATTCCTCTTAAAGGGTATCAAAACAACAGTTGGGGCCTGCCACTAAGTCCGTATTGGAACCAGCGCTTACTTCCCTGTCTGTCCTGAAGTTAATTCCCACCCTTATGCCCACCCCAAAAGACCTGCTTGAGGTAAACACATCTGCCGTTCCCCTTCTCTGACCCTGGCCCTCCTACCTACAAGCAATGCTCACCTGAACTATTTTCTTTCCTTTGTGATGTTATGATGTCACAAGTCATCTGTTCTTTTATGTTTAAAGACCCTTATTTTGATAAATTCACTGACTTTTGATTTATCTGCTGTGTCCTGATTGAAAAAAAAATCATGCAAAGTAGAAATACATATAGGAAGAAATGTGAACTGGTGGGCCAAATTAATGACCAAGAGACTGGCAAGAGGGAAGGCAGTATTTGGATATTTAATCTGTAACATGATCGTTGAATGGTGATTTCTACTAAAAACAAAGAGGAGAGCAAATGAGTGGTGCTTGACATGGAAACAACTCTAGTGCTTTTACAAATTACCTGAAAGAAATATCGGTTAATATGTTTTTGTTTTTGTTTTGTCTATTTTTTGTTCAGAGACTCTGAGTTTTATGTTTATTTTGTTGTTGTCTTTTCATGTATTTTTTTCTTGTTAAGTTGTTTTCTAGGTTAAGTATGCTCTCATTTGTTTCTATAGTTACTTATTTGTTAATTGATTAGTCCTGCTGTTCCTTGTTTTCTCTCTCATTTTCCCTGTGTATTTATACCCCCAGTTCTGTTCAGTTCTTTGTCTGTTCTCATCGTTGGCTTAATAGAGGTACTGCTAGCAACTAGACTGACACTGAAACCCTTTCCTTTACATGCCTTGAACAGCCAACCATGATAGTCAAGTAGTTTAAATGTGTTTTGTAGTAAGAAACATGTATTTTAGAATTTTGCATACTAGTAAATTGTGATCTGCAGACAGTTTCTCCTCCTGTTGATTTATCTGCAGTAACAGCAGTGATGCAGAATGTGTAATTTACTCCAGAAGTCAGACCAGTGATGTGATAGGAAGTGTTAATAGTTTCTGTTGAATTTTCACTTGTTTTATTATCAGTCCACTGAAGTTTAAAGAAAGATCTATTTCCGGCTGGTTCTTCCCATGTCAGAAACACAGATGAGGTTGTGATGTTGGTCACTCTGAGATTCCTGATCACATCTGGCTCTGTGTAGAGAGAGAAGGACAAATCATAAATGCTGGTAAGAGACGGCGTAAAAACATTTACGACTGATACAATCATTCATAAATCATTTATAGCATTTGTAGGTGCTTAAGATGTTGCTGTACAGTTTTCTGCTAAAGGCAAGAAAATGTGAGAATATTTCAAGGCTGAAGGTTCAGCAGATTCACTCAGATTAAACATCCAATTAGAGGTCTTACTGGTATACAGTGAAATCTGATTGGCTCTCCCCTCGGTCACATGATCAGCTGCAACTGCAAACACTCTGAATGTGTACTGTGCTCCGGGAATCAGATCATTTATCTCAATGGAGGTGTTTTCAGTAGTCACACTGTTATTTTCATATTCTACACGGTAATGGGAGCTTTGGCCATTTGGTTTAGTCCAATTTAGTAAGACTGAGGATGTTGTAATATCAGCAGCTGTGATGTTCATTATGACGTCAGGCTCTGTGAGTAAAAATGACAGATGTTTGGGGATTAAAATACAAATCCTGAAAACTTACTGTAGTGAAGATATGAAAGGCATCAGTCAATATGAATATCCAGCTAGGGGAGTCCAGAAACATTTACGTTGAAAACATACTTGTATATTTAGAGGTAACCACTGATTCTCCTTCTGTTGATTTATCTGCCGCAACAGCTGTGATGATAAATGTGTAATTGACTCCAGCAGTCAGATCAGTGATGTTATACCATGGGTTATTGGTTGTTACATGATTAGATGTTTTCTCATCAGTCCAATTAAGTTTAAAGAAATCTCTATTTCCGGCTGGTTCTTCCCATGTCAGAAACACAGATGATGTTGTGATTTCAGACACTCTGAGATTCCTGATCACATCTGGCTCTGTGTAGGAAGAGAAGGACAAATCATAAATGCTGGTGAGAAGTCAAGTCAAGTCAAGTCACCTTTATTTGTATAGCGCTTTACACAATACTGGTTGTGTCAAAGCAGCTTTACAGTGTTAAACAGGAAAATAGTTTGTCAATAATGCAAGAAGACAATAACAGTAATTTTTCCAGCTAAAGACAGAAGTGGAGATATACAAGTAAGATTGATACAATTAGGAATTCCTAAAGCATTTGTAGGTGCTTAATATGTTGCTGTACATTTTTCTGCTCAAGGCAAGAAATTATGAGATGGTTTCGGGGCTGAAGGTTCAGCAGATTTATTCAGATTAAATATCCAATCAAAGGTCTTACTGGTATACAGTGAAATCGGATTGGCGCTCCCCTCGGTCACATGATCAGCTGCAACTGCAAACACTCTGAATGTGTACTGTGCTCCGGGAGT